TATGAACAGGAAAAAAAAAAATGTTCGAAAAAAGCTCCCCATTCACACCACAACAGCACTCCGATCATTTGCGAAGTTCGACGTGTTCTTAAAATAAAATTTTGTCACTATTTGCTGGTACATTATTAACCGGGCGAAATAAATTAAACTTTAACTGCCCGGTTTAAGTTATTTATTAACTTCTTGTTCATTGTTACTAACCGGAACAAAGATAGGTCTTCCAACCAGGTTACCATGGAAAACCATTCCCTCCTTGGTCTAATATAACAGAACCGGAAGTATCTTCCATGTTGAAATGCGCTCGTACCAGGCCCTTGTGGATTGGCCATGTCAATCCGGCTAACTTCATGTAATCGATGATTTCATTATCTGGAACTCGCACTCCCCATAATGTTAACTGTGGATAAATGAATATCAATGTTAATTTGTTGATGTGTCCGGAATAAAAAAAGTTAATGGAGGGGACGTTATGAGGTAGGGTTATGAAGCTAATGAAATAGGCCACTTCCGAGATCCCTTTACATCTTTTTCAAAACGAGTCCAAGTGCGAAACCTTTCATATGAAAATGAGTTTTCTTCACAAGTTCATTCAAATCCAAATCAGACTCATTTTCATTTGAAAGGTTTCGCACTTGGACTACAACAACAACAACAACAACAACAACAACAACAACAACAACAACTTTATTGAATTTTTATATATAAGATTTACAAGAGTGCTTGCTCCCGCTAATAGTTACAAAACTAATCGAGGCGGGAGCAAGAGTTTTGAAGGGACTCGTTTTGAAACAGAGGCAAAAAGGAATTCGGAAGTGGCGTATTACAATCGTCACAGCTAATTTCACCCCCAAGTCTCGCGTTCGAAGTACAATCTTGTAAATTTTCCCATTAACGAATTTTCAAAGCAGTAAAGGGGGAAAGAATACTCACGTGAAAACACTATGAAGGCGCCAGAGCTTTGAGAAGAATTTCGTGTAAACGAGGCTTGAGGGTGAATTTTGAGCAAGTGACCTAATCATGCATAAGTGCACCAGGCCTATTGGCATCTGAAACCTTTTAACTTTCAACTTTTTACGACTCGCTCTAAACAGGTTAACTTTGTACTTACGTCATCGATTGTTCCATTTAAAAAGTGTTTTTGATCAGTTCCGACAAAGAGCTTGACATTTGGAGACTACAAATTAAAGAAGGAGAGAGACAGTCATAAGAGATACTTAATCTCATCTATCTATTATGATCTATGCTGAAGAGCGTTCTTGTTCTTACCCAGAAATAAGGCGTGGTATCTGTCTGTTTTCCAACCGATGATCCATTTACAAACACTTCAATTTCATGCCCTAAAACAAGATACAGATTGGTAATTATCCATGTCATTGAATATTTCATTTCAAGTTATAAGCATAAGCATAGAAAAAAAAAACTGTTGGTTCTTCTTATGCTTATGCCGCGGTGATTCCTAGTGAGGACAACATAAGACTGATAATGAGACGAAGTGAGCTATAAGAATGAACTTCTTTCTTACGTCGTTGCCGTCTTCACTATTCGTATGTCAGTTTATGCTATGGTCATGTCGCTGATAAAAATCAACCTTAAATTGCTGCGGTCTCAAGGCGCGCGACCTGATCCAAAGTTCAAGCTATTGTTTCCCTAGGGAGTTATACAGTTTTAGGCGCATCATTTTAGTTGCGGGCTATAACAATCCTTGTTGTCTGTCGTAGACTGAGCTCCCGCCAGCAGCCGACTAAGTAAAGTGTTCCATCAACCCTCAACTGTAACTATCTTTAGACAAGAGAAAACTATATGTTTACTTTGTGCATCAAATCGAAACACTAGATGATGCCATTCCTGTGGTTCTATAATTTCACTTCCCTCTACAGTAGATATTCCAAGGTTGCCATGAATACGTCTGAAAAAGAGAAAAATATATAAAACAAGAAAGTAAATAAGAATTCATATCTGATATTCTGAGTACCCTGTATTTACTTTAGCGTATCGATCAGCCACCATCTTGAAAAGCGAGAAGACCCTGGGAACGAGGTTGCGCTTTTGAGCTCTAAAACTCGTGCCACGCTCTTCAACCAATCATTGTTTTCTCGACCAATCACAATCGAGGTGTGTTTTTTCGACCAATCAGGTGCATCGAACTAAAACCAATCACGATTTTGCAGATTTCCCGCGCTTGCCACCGGATACATGTTTTCCCGCGCTTGCCGCAGGTTAGTACTGGTTTTGCTTCGAGTTCTGAACGAATTTGGTACCGTAGTGATTGCATGGCCCAAATATTTTGCTGTGACGGATTTATTTGGTCTTAGTTTTACCATATTCAACGAGTAAACGCTCTGAATCGCTCTCAATACTCGCCTGTCGTTAAGATATAAGCAGAGTGTTCCTTCATCACTACACACGATAGGCATGACCGTCATGGGGTAGTCCGCTGCCATAAGTACCCATACACTGATTGTAAAGCTAAAAGAGAAGAATACATAATATGACATCTGTGTTTTGGAACTTTCTAAAACACTCATATGTGAATCACACTCATATGTGATAATAAAATTGACGTACCTGTCTGTTAAACCTAAATTATGAATGGATGGTAACGTCACGTGATCATCTACACCGTCAAACATCAGAGCCTGGTTTATTCTAAAATGAAAAGGTAAAATAAAACTTAAGAAATTTAGAACATGTGAAGTAACTGTAGAGTAATCTACTTGCACCTCTGTATTGTTACAAGCAGTGTATAGATGCAAGAGAGGATGATCTAAGAGAAGGATTTCCCGTGCACTATGATAACGTTTTTGAAATCTATTAATAGTTTCGCGCCATGCTGTGAAAGTTATTTTTATTTCCATCTGATGGAGGCTCCGACATCACGATACTCGAACTGAACGATCAGGTAGCGCTCTCAAAATTGCTCAGCTATGGACTGAAAATCAAAATAATAGATTTCAAAAAATTATCATTGGAAGAGACCCATGTATTGGGGAATGCTTCTCTTAGATCATACTCTCTTGATGATAAATATGACTACCATGTTTTTGATCCAGGCGTAAATACAAGGTGTTAACCGCACGGGATCCGACCAATCAGATGAGCTTACCTATCAGAACAGCGTACATCAAGTCTGGACCATATGACGTCATGCTGTCCAAAAACAAACATGCCCAGTCTCCCACCGGTCAGTATCGTGTTGTAAATGTTTCCAGAATCAGTTAAAATCTTCTCTCCCTGCTTTATTTGAATTCTGAAAAGGTAATAAAACCTGAATGTCTATTACAAAAGTGATAAATAAGACATTTTACTATTTCTTTGACTGCACATGTCTCTGGCCACTCACTTACTTAAAGGGACACTGTCCCAGCGTATTTGCTCAAAACTGTTATAAATGCATGAAATGGTCCCTAAATCTATGAAATAAGAACTTAATAAACTCTAACTAAATGATAAAAAGCAATTTCTTCAAGAAATTCCATACCGCAACAAAATGTTTGCAAAATTTCAAAGATTTCCGAGCCAAATTTGAAACTTTGAAAAACTGACATCCTGACGTTTATTCAAAAATCCATATTGCAATCCATTTCCATCCTCGCTGTCGTTTGTCATCCTCACTTGCTAATGGGTTCCTGTCATTTGTCGAGTGTTATTCTACAGAATCAAGCCATTATTGACCAACTTCCTATGATCTAGATATGTTTCTGAGCTTCCCAAAATCATGCAAAAATCAGGACAGTGTCCCTTTAATACCAGTTACGTGTTACCGTATTCAAGCTGAAAGTGAGCAACGAGGAAGTCAGGAGAACAAAACGGAGTTTGTCAGCGAAGACGGTGGCGGTCGATCTGATTGTGTTAGGAATAGAGAGAGAAGAACGTAGAAGACAACCTCACACAAGACTGACCTGGGCACCAGAGGAGGCCGACCAAGAGAAAAATGAAGGTGTGCAGTGGAGAGGAAACGATAACTGATTACAGCTCAGAGCAGTCAAGGAAGGAGTCAATTTCCCGCCCTATACTCCGCATGGAGAGAAGGACCTGATAATGACGTATTACCGTACAATATCTGACCTTATAAGCCCGATGGACGGTCTATGGGTAACGTGGAAGCCATACGAGGTCTGATGCTGCCATCCTTCCATACTTGGATCATCCCATAACAGCGTGACCTGAGGGTAAATAACGAACATTCATACCTGGTAAACTAATGAGAGTCTTATGTGTGAAATCGTGTAATTGAGCCGGGTAGATACGTGTTTTATCACCCACCTGATTTTGTGTATCTCCTGAGTGCCATAACGCTTTTGCCAAATCCGGCCCCGGTCCCGTGTTTGAGTCTACAACCTAATTATAAGACACTACTATGTCAACTTATATTTAACATACTTATAATAGAGCGCAAAACTAAAACAATTATGATGGCCAATCACAACAAACGTAAACAACAGAATGAACCAATGAGAACTCGAAACAAATCTGAATCGTATCGCGCTTGGTTTTGCTTTTGCATCTGATTGGTTAAATAGCTGGTGCAAATTTTCTAAACCAATCACAGAGCGCAGTAAAATAATTCCATTACTTCGTCACTCAATTGAAAACTCTATGCTCAATTATTTCACATTTTCTCTGTATAAAGAGGGGCACAAAATAGATAATCCGTCTGTGTGTATAAAGACGGCCATTGTAAAATCGACGTCTGTCCTTAATGTACACTTTGCTTTTTCAGAATAAGTTATTCTCACCTTTAGTTGCAGTCCTTTTATTCCAGCGTTGGTATCAGCTTTGCCAAAGTTAATGTTTTCTCTTCTCCACATCACAACATAGAATTTACGATTCGATTGATAGCCAAACACCACGCCCAAATAATCGGACCCCTCGCTGTCCTTTACATAAAGTGTTCCGCTGTAATCCACTGCTCCGTACCGTGTAGAACCTACGGCAAGTCAACAATGATAATTGCGCTTTTGATAGGAGGTTAGGTATCATGCCAATGACCAGCTACCAGTGGCTTCATGGCTCAGTTGTAGAGCGTTTGTACCGGAATCGCTATAAAGTCATGGGTTCTAATCCCGTTGGAGGTAAAGGTAAGCCGCACTCTGGCCAAACTGGCCCACACTGCATGCCGGAACTTATCCCTGATTATTTTTCAGGCTTTTTTTTATGGCAACTGACTGCATAAGTTGATGTATAACTCCGACGATCTCCCTTTCTCTTTATTTCTCCCGCCATTCACGTCCTTGATGTGTGATTCATTTGATTCCATACATGTATTATCACATACTCATCTTTTCACGGATAAATATAATTCACAATTGACTTAACTTCCAGTGACTTCATAACTGAGCGATAGAGCATTTGAAACTGAATTACAAAGGTCATTGGTTTGAATCCAGTTGGAGCCTGAATTTGTTTTACAGGCCTTCGCTGCCAACTGCATAAGTTGCTACCGATAACTGCCAGTTTGGAGAATGGGGATGTTAACTTGGGAGTGGATCGAAGGGCCAAAGATACAAAGATGAAGCGAAATTAGGGAGGGAAACGGTTACCATTAACTTCGCACAGCATAGTTGATAAAACGTTAAAAATAAAGTAGTCTTACCAATTAGCATTCCAGGATGATTTGTATTGGTCACGTGTTCAACATCAACACCCTGTCACGAAATGGTACAAAAACAAGGTAGAAACTGGTTTTTAATATTTGGTTTTACATTTAAGCTCCTAATTATCCATTAGGAAGGAAAGCAGAAATAATACCTTCGTTTTCAAATGCAGCTGATCTAGTTAACTAAAATTCCACAAGCAGAGCAAAATACATCTATGTTATAGCCTTGGCTCTGAGGAAAACTAGTACTACTAGTTAAAATATAGGCCAATAAACCTGGCCTTTTGTCGTAGTGCCAGCCTTGCAATCAGTTTAGTTTATTTTCAAAAGTCATGTGATTAATTTGTTACGGCTTAATATCCAGTCACTCGCAATCCGAAGCTTTAAAAGAAAACCATAGAATGCATTAAGGAATTTTCTCTAAACTTTCCTAAACTTTTACAGTTTTTACACGGTTACCATTTTTGCCACTCTCCATTCCGGGATTGGGTCGCGGTGACCTGGATACAAGTCCACCGTAAAATAATCCAGGAAGCTTGTTTTACTGATATGCTTGACATGAGGACAGACGTCATCAACATCCGGGAATCCATCACCATCATAGTCATCCACGCATGCGTCACCCACTGGATTAGCTGAAAGTGTTAAAAATGTTCCATAAGAAGAACCTCCTACCTAGATTACGTATTCCTTGATTATTATAATGAATTTGCAATACACTGTATGATGCATTTAGGGACGCTATCTCCTCCCCACTACGAATAATTTTAATTAATTTTGTAGAACGCAAAAATGACTTTATTAATATATCGGGACATGTCTGCGTACACTACCAGCCGTACGAAGCTGTTTTGCACTGCTTGAGTCTTGTCAGCACGGCTTAGCTAGCGCGCACATCATTTCCCGCTCTTTAATTTTGTTTCCCTGACAACCGGCGCCGTAACTGCCGTTGCTTACCTTTGACGTCATAAGATAGTTTGTCATGTTCCTGAAGAGGATTGCTGATCATAGGACAATTATCCCGTATGTTGAGTATCCCATCATTATCTTGTTCGTCGTCACACGCGTCACCTTATGAGAAATGTATCAGGGTGAAGTCAATTAACGTACATTGCAGTTGTCACTAAGTTTGACTAGTTCATTTCAGAATATTAGCGTTTGTAGGGCAAGAGAGCCACACTTACTACAAAACGTGCTGACACTTTACAATGGTAATTGCCTAGTCTTATTTCTGTAAATAGTTGTGTAGTGTTCATCGTTTTAGAAGTAATCTACTTTAATTACTAAGCTAGATTGCCCACTATATTGAAGTTGATTCTGAGAAGACCCGAGGAAGTAATATTGTGTAGTCACGTCTTCAGTACTACATGCTAGCAAATGGTTATTTTGTTGACTATAGTCACGTGATATCGGCCAAGGATCTTCTCTCTGTTGTTCTCCTATTATTACCGAGCAAAGAATAGAAGGCAGTGTTGTTTTTCCGGATTTCAATCAACGAAATCATTTTCCCACCTTTCTTATCTCCATCGGCATCTCCTTGTTCACCATTTGGTAAATCAGGGCAGATGTCGAACTCATCAAGGATTCCATCTCCGTCTCTGAAAAACAACAAAACACCCATAAATCCTTCAACAGTACCATGTCCGTGATATAGTTAGACTTCTCAAGCTCATTAATAATTCATCAAGTTAAAACAAAGGAAATCATAACCGTGTCGGAGGTTTGGATATCTGTCTTTTTAAACAAAAACTAAGGAGCAAACGGAGAAATAAAATCGTACAAATCGATGCTAGCATCGATTTGTACGATATTATTTCTCCGTTTGCTCCTTAGTTTTTGTTTCGACCGAGAAGATATATCAAACACTCGAGACAGTGTTTTATCGACTATCCTAAACAAAGGTTGGGTTTGACGGTTCTGGGTTGTGTTCTTGGAAAATACACTTTACTTTCACAGTGACAGGGGTAGAAATGGGTAATGGGACAATGTTGAAAAACCTGAAAAAATGCTGGGGGTAACATGGACTAGTATCCCATCCTGTCCATCCTGGGGGAGTAACATCACTCCTATTTAGTGGACCACTTGGCCACACGCGTGTACTAACTCCACTCCATTTCGAGCTTGTGACGACAAGATGAGGTTTGTTTTGTGGCTTACTTTCAAGTTTTAGCGGATGTTTCTTACGACTTACTTGTCTTTTCCTTGCCCGTCGCATGCATCACCATATCCGTTCTCGTTAGAATCCGGCTGAAAGACGAATTAATAGGCGTTATTTACCCTTGGATTCCTAAGGGCGCTTTAGGCGCATGGAGTCACTGTGACGTTACCAAATCACACGTCACACTATAAAACTTTGATAAGCGACTGAGGATACATTAGATTTTTTTCAGGTATGACACTACTCAATTTTTTGAGAAAATCACGAGAATTGGCGATCCAAGATGGACGTCCTTTCAGCGAAGTATGACGTCATGAATAACACGTTACCCACACCATACAAGTTATAGCCTGACATATACAAATGATATAAACAAAAGTAAGTTAAATGTTCTCGCATCCGAGTGCTCAGTGCCATAAAATCGTGATAAGTCCAAACGTTTCGGGATTAGCCTGAATTCGATTTATATAGATAAAGATGCACTTTCTGCCCTTCTTACAGCCTAGTCTAAAAAAGGTTAAAAATCGTGTTCAACTGCTCTACATTGCATTTTCAGTAATTTTCAGTGAAATTTGGCAAGTAGCAGTAAAGACAAACACTGAAAACACGAGTAAAAAATGTGCGACCAACTGGTGATTGTCAAGTTATTATTATTGTTGTATTATTTGCCTCGATTGATCATTGTTTATCTTGATAGCCATACCTGTACGCCACTGTGTAAGGCGTTGTAATTTTTAGGGCAATTGTCACACAAGTTTCCCACATTGTCCCCGTCATCATCGTCTTGATCTCCTGGAGCGTTCAACTTTGGACATTTATCATTGACATTCAGTATTCCTACGGCAAGGGGGATATTAGATGAGTATTTATGTCTCTGTTATTGAGTTTAGCTTTTCTCGGACTCTTAGAACGAGTCTGGAACAGGCTATTCTGGGTTACGCAAGCCACATAAATGTGAATGGAATATTTTTGGAATGGAATCAATGATCATAGCTAATCGCAACTCAGACTGGGAAGAAAATTGTATTAACCTCTGATGAGCGACCATTAGCTAGCACGAATGGTTCATTCAGAGTGGCTAGAACATGATGGCAGAATGGCTTTCTTTTAAAAACGTGAGACAACGATATTCCCATCGTCAAAGTCCTTGACATCCTCACTCCTCGGATAAGGTATTTTGGGTATTTGGGCTGAGGTACTGAATATTCCATATTCCACACCAGATTGCGGTTGGTGAATTTGAAGAAACATCACGTAGCAAATTTCATGACGACTTATAGTGATTTTCATGAGCAATTATTTCCTCGTAAGACAACTCGTTTATTCCGCATTAGCTCGCGTAATGCCTCCGTTGTCAATAAAATACACTTATTTCCCTTTGAAAAAGTTGACAACTTACTAAGCAGAGAGGTATTCCCATTAATGACTGGCCTCGTAAACTTATGTTAGTGCCAGACATTTGAGCATTCCACTATGTTATCATTGAATTACCATCTCCATCTTGATCATCGTCACACTCATCTCCCATTCCGTCTCCATCAGTGTCTGTCTGGTCTGGATTAGGGAAAGACACACAGTTATCGCACGCGTCACCCACACCGTCTCTGTCCGTGTCTTTTTGGCCAAGATTTTTCACAAAAATGCAGTTATCCTGTAGTAAAACATGTAATAAGCAAGGGATTGATGGCCATGTAAGAACTCTTTGGACCTTAAAGGAGCTACGTCACGGTTGGCACATCTTAAACATTGGCCAATTTTTGGCCAAGTTCGCCATTCTCAATCCGTCTTAATCTTCTCCATCCTCAACTATCCTTGAGGACGTTAGATATCAGTACACTTGAGATTTAGATAGAAAAAACGATTTCTAAGTGATTTAACATTTATTTATATGTTGTCGTAGCATTTGGAGAAACGGAGGGGGGCGGGGGATCCCCCCGTCGGAAAAGACCAAAACAAGCCCAGTTTGAATAGGGTTAAACATCGCTGTTTTTTTATCTCTAAATTGCCTTTCATCTGAAGGTTATCAATATGTCGGTCACAAAAAAATATGATCTGATATCATTATGCATAATATTTCCGAGGATATGGATGGTATGGTTGCTATGATGCTAATTGTGGTCTTTGCTTTGATTTGAGTGTAACAAACCTGTTTATCAAGAATCAAATCATTATCGTCATCCTCATCACACGCGTCTCCGTCCGTGTCACCATCATTATCCTCCTGACCCGTGTTAGGCACACTTGGACAGTTATCCTGCAAGGTATAGACACCACAAATTATCTCATGGCGTAACAGGAAGGTTCGTCATGTTACCATTCAA